TCATTGAGTTTTCTCATATCAATCCAATAATACTCTCTGACATGGAACGATAATGCCACAAGACGATTGTTCAGTGCTCGGATTAGGTCAGCTGATCCATCCTTCGGAGCAAGCATTTCACGTGCACAAAGTAATGCTGAATAAAATAGTGCCTGCAAAACAGGAAACACCCTACCAAACCAAAATAATATTGTTTTATCTTACTAAGCATAAAGATGATAAAAATAGAAGAAAATCCACCCTGGTACAGTTTACATATATCCAACATATAAGAGAAACATTTCAACAAGTAAATAAATAAATATCAACAACATTTTGCTGGTGACATCTAAAGAACAATCAGTGCCACATAGACGTCAAGATTTGTATCAAATTTTAGATTTAAATTTTTTATCATATTCAAATGTTAACTAGAGAGTCATCTGACCGCCACTGTATCTTCTCTAAAATCATCAACCTTCAGCATAGTCAACCACAACTAAAAAGAACCACCTCTCTAGGACAATCATTTCTGACATTAGCATAGGCAATATGTCTTGTTAAAAAGCAACTGAAAACACATCCAAGTAACAATAATATGAATGATTTATTCACCAGAATTTCCAGAGGGTGACCATGAATCCCCATGCAGCGATCTACCATACAAGAACCATCTATCACTAATAAAGTTGGGAACATATCAAAACCATTGGCAAGACATAGTCTCATAATCATTTTAATTCCAGTTTGGACATCAATTCTCTCATGAACTGAGAGATCTCCAGAGCATTTTCCATATGCACGCAACAGTATAATCCACCACAATCCTGGAATTAATATCATAAAATGAAAAAAAAAAATTGCATAAAATTCTAATACCAGGATATGTATATTTTGCTTAATACGGTTTTTGAAATGATATGTTTATTTACTAGAATCAATAGGTTCAACACGACCAATTGCTGCCTATCCGAAATCAGGATCCAATACCTTCTCCGTTGCTAAGTCATCACCATCCAGGGGAACTGCGCGCACCTTGAAACTAGCAGGCATCAATCCTTGACCAGGACTATGACAGTCCGTAGTTTTCTCATAGCTCTACAAAATAAGGACTACACAAGTCATGCACAGTTGTACACTAAAATTATCAATATATATTTGAATCACGTAATTAACTATTTCAGTTGTATGCATTACAAGTAAGCACATGTGGATCCAAATACACAACTAAGGATTACATATATGCAGTGTCTTTGTGACTAGTTCAATGCTCAGCTTCCATATGACATGAAATCCAGATTGGCATAGGCACCAATGTTCTATTATTCAACTATACATCTTATATACAAATGCATGACAGGATTGTGTAACTATGTTACATGGAAAGCATATTGCTTTAGTGAGTGGGGATGTGGTACGCTACTTTTTCTATTTAATAAGTAGCAGAACACAGTATGCCCTTCTTTTCTTCTTTGGTAAGTATGAGAACATGGTGTGCTACATACCCTAAAATGAAGTACAATGCAGACTTGTACAAGTCTCATAGTTCCAATTGGTGAGGGTTTTTTTTATCATACTAGTTTTCTTTTTCTTTTCTTTTTTTGGGCCAAGTTTCATTAGAATTGTTGCCCTTTTTTAAAGAAATGCAAGAGTGATTTTCTTTTAACATGTCATCAATAATGAAATAATATTATGAAAATGACCCGTTTATCCTGTTCAAAACTTTCTTATACTAGAATTAGTTTCCAAAAACATGAGCATTCAGAAAGTGTATCTTATGTGATTTAAGTCATCGATGCTCTATGACCCTTTGTTTCACTCTTTTTGTTTTTATTGTTTTATTTTTATTTTTAAATTTAGAGAAAACACATCTTACGATAGCAAATCATTTTGACCCAAAAGTAATCTATACAGATGCACGCATTCACCATCAGGCAAGCCCAGGGAGAGTTAAAAACAGAGGCCTCTAGTTCAAGACTCCTCACCTCAGCCAACAGATCTATCCAGACAGGTCCATCTGTCAGATTTCAATTTAACGAACAGTTTGAAGGCAAACTGGTATTTGACCACTGCCAAGGACAAATAATGCAGTACATTCGATTTGCAAGCTTATTTCTTCAAAGGTTAAGTTCAGATCATGTATTTAAATCATGAACAGAGTCAACATACTAGTAATAGAATAGAAGAAGAAGACTAGTAAACCACACGTCTTCATTTCGAATAACTAACTACACTATTAACAAAAAGTCATAGCAACAAACAGCACTATTGATACTTCGGGAAAATCCAAAACAGAATTACGAGTGAAAGAGTTCTAACCATAACAAAACACGATATGCAAATAATTCGTCTGTCAGATCAAGTGCATAATAGAACCATTTACCTGCAGTTGCAATGTATGAAGGATGAAGTTGCGAACAATATCATACTCTCCTTTCAATAAGTAAGCTATACCAGAAGGTATAAAGTCACGGATAAAGGCCTGGTTGGGTCCTTCTTAGCTGTTGTTCCAATAGGACTAGCACAATAATAAACCATAGACTCCCGGAGCAATTTCCATGCCTCATCCTCAATAGAGTCGACACAAACCTAGTGCAATGTATCTCTGACTGGTTCAACTGCAGGTGCATTGCCGTTATATAGAGAGACAGTGAGTTGAGAGTGTGTAATCTCCTCCATTTGTTGATATATAACAACATCGCTCCCGTGGACGTAGGCCGGTTTGCCGAACCACGTTAAAACTCTTGTGTTTTTGCTTGTGAGTGTCCCCTGGTGTGCCCACGATCCGCAACATCAACTGCAGGTGCATTGCCATTAGATGTAAAGACTTCTGTTTCCTGTTTTGATTCTTGAACCTTCTCAAAGTCTAGAATGTCAGGTCCATTCACAATACCATTAAATTAATTGTACCTAATTTCTTTGCATTATCCACATACCATGTTCGATTTCCATTATCTGCAGTTACTCCACTCACACTTTCAGCCTGCTGACAATTGCAACTAATAAGTGCTGGTTGATCTATTAAATTGTTTCCAAATGGAACTTGCTTATGGCTGGAAACCAATGATTACCGAAGCTACTTTGTAGCTTGCTTGAAATTTAGATCAAATTAAGTTGATTAAAAAAATAAACAATTAACCCATAATTGTTTTGGTTTTTTTGAAAACATCCAACATAGTTATCAACGATTGAAGATATAGGGCCTGGTAATAGAAAAATCAGAACACGTAAACACCGTACACGTGTAAAACCTTCCTTTGAAAAGAAACATATTTGATCGGAACTTCCATTTCTGGCAATTAATTGTGGGGACCTACTTGAATGGAAAGGTTTTTAGACGCTGATTTTGCTATTATAATAGGTGATAGCTGGTCTCCAGTCCACTGTGGAGCTCACCACAAGTCTTGTTTTAATGATCTGAACTGTTCAATATGTAAAATTCGTCGAGTATTTTACCTTGTAAAAAATTACGTTGATCGGATATCGACAATTACTTGATCAGAACAGATTGTTGTCAATAATTTATTTTGAAAATTATATTTACTGTTGACAGAAATTTGTTCCGATCAAGTATCTATCGATATCTGATCAATGTGATTTTTTATAGAGTACTTTATCTATTCAACGGTTTGGATTATTGAAACAAAACCCATGGTGGGCCTTCATGAACCCAACAATACGCTCTAGTTCAATCATGAATTGGAGAGAAGCCTAACCCATTTTAATAGGCGAATTATACTTGAATTTTTGTAATTTGTCTTTTTCATCAATTAAGTTTTTATAATTTTAGTTATATTAAGGGGTAAAATAAAGTTGTTCGTTCACTTAATTGAGGGGTGGTTCTCCTTATAATTTTTTAATGGATGTAATCAATTGAATTAAATTGATAATATATAAAAAATTAAAAGAAAAAATTGACACAATTTTGAAACTTTATGAATCAAATTAATACATGACAGTTCTTGATTTCCCTTTCTCTTTCATTTTCTTATCTTCCCAAATATCTCCTCTAATCCTCAATCCAAACATAACATACATGAGTGGAAACAACGCCAACCCAATCACAATGGTTGGTTCCAATTTTTTGAATTTAATGTTTTAAAAATTGAGATTTTTGTTTTTCATATATTTTTTTATTTTTTATGATTTTTTTAATATTTTAAGCATTTTTTTTAGATACACTTAACATAAATATAATTAAAAAGTATAATATTTTTGAAAAAAATCTTTAAAAAATTCACCAAATACCGAAAATACGAGAAAAAAATATGAAAATTCAATATATTTTAGTATTCTTATGTACTTATTTTTTTTTGCATTTTGTTTTACAAATATTTTGCTTTTTAAGTACACTTAGGTTAGGTGCATCTAAAAAGTAAAATATTTGCTTAAAATATTAAAAAAAAATCACTATAAAAAAAAACACGAAAAAAAACTCAATTTTTAGAAAATTAAATTCAGAAAATTGGAACCAAACAAAGAGACTTGGGAGAAATTTCAAGTAAAGCTCCTTTACATATCTAAATAATATATCATATTTATTAATTTTTAAATCGTAAAATTTATTATTTATTATTATTATTTTTATTTTTTACATATTTACTATTACAATTAAGAAGAGTTTGTCACCTTTAATAATTTTTTATTTACATATTTACTATTACAATTAAGAAGAGTTTGTCACCTTTAATAATTTTTTACGTATTTAGCTCTTCCCAACACCCAAAAATAATATTACATTTGATTGTGAACTATCCACCCAAAAAAATGGGTTATTTTTCTGTTTGTGAATTAAAGTTACAGTACTATATATCCATTGTTACATTATTTTGATAAAAAGTTCTATATAATTCTATAAGGATATTAGCTTATTCCTTTTATTAGTAATAACACAAGTTATATTACAAGTGCTCGAGAGAATTCTAGAGAAGAAAGGAGAGTAGGAATCACTAACACATAAACAGTTGTTGAGCTGAAGATTATATATATATGGACTCTCCCAATTTGTTTTGATGTTTGACCTAGTAGAGCATATAAGCATTTTGCTTAACAAAAATGGTACAATAGGTGGATTTGAACATGTCTACAAGGAGAGGAAATTGCAGGAACGCGAACAAAATTGCAGGTATACCAGGCAACACAAGCATAGGGAAGATAATCCATGCCTTGTAACTATACCCAAACACAAGATAAAGTGTGGCACCAAAGGCTATCATGGTGGATAATATGGAGAGAAATAGGCTTATGAGACCAAAAATCAATCTCCTAGGAATGATAACCCGAAAATCATTTTCTCCGTAGCGAGAAGTGAGGATGGACAAGAATAGCAGCACAGAAGTCATGGATGAGAAAAGAGCGAATGCGTCAGATATGCCGAAGATTAAGAAGGATGCTCGTTTGTAAAAAACTGGATACCCATCGCCATTGTTTCCACCTGGTACTGTAATGGCAGCCGCAAACACCACAGTGGCAATGAGAGCCGCTACAATTGTGGATGCATTGGCTGTGTCTTTCAACCACTGCTCTCCATCTTTTATCAAATCTTTGTGTGTTTCAGTAAATATCTGTGCTGGTGTCTTTCCCTCTTTGTTCTTTTTTTCTTTGTGCTGAGTCAATGCACAATTTTCCACTTCCTGTATAAATTTAAACCAAGCCATTTCCAAATGAGAAACTATGTTACGGAGTTCGTTTTTTAATCATGGATTGGAGTCCAGATTTAAAAAGAAAAGAACAATGTAAGTAGGGGTATTAAACAAACTAAGCCACTCGACCTCAACTTGTATTTGACTCTCATTCGATATCGACTCGTTATATAAACAAGCCAAGTTTGAACATAATTTTAAACCGGTTAAATTTTCAAGTTAAGTTTGAACAACTTATTACTCGGCTCAATAAGCATATATGTACTATAAAAACTCAAGTTACTTGAGGTCAACTCGTGTTTGGCTCATTAAAAGTTCATTCGAAATCGGCTCATTATGTAAACAAGTCAAGTTTGAACATAATTTTAAGCTCATTAAGTTAACAAACTAAGCTTAAACAACCTTGTATTTAGCTTGTTTTCAGCCCTAAATGTGAGGGAAATGGAGAAAATATTTCATTTATATTTTATTCAGATATTTTCCAATTTTATAAATACTTCTGTTTATATCAAATAAATAAATATTTGATCGTATGGAGTCAGGAAAGATTATCTTAAACCATAGCAATTCGTGCTACATTTGTAGAGCTGCACCGGCTCTGCGATATAGTTGCTCCTGAGGAGCCAAAAATCCAGCCAAATGCAGAGCATTGTTCTGGGAGTCATCACATTGTCCCAAAAATACAGTTCTGGACTTTCCAATTTGATGAATGAGGTTGAACACTTGTTCATGGCGCCACATGATTGCTTGATGGAATATGGATTGGTTTTTCCCGTTTTGAAGAGAAATTGCATCAGGGTATGATATTAAAATCTCTTGAACAATTTCATAAATCCCAACAGATGTTGCTTGGACTAACGATAGTGAAAATATCTGTTTTGCTTTTGAGTAATTTGCATTTGCAATTTGATCGCAAAGCAATTTGACAAGCTCAACAGCTTGTTTATGTACCAATTTTTTTTCCCGGATGTCCTTGATACATGGCACTGTAATTAAAAATGACTCTTATATGGATGTAATTATAATAATGATACTGTTAGTCTAGCATGAACATAAGATAATATTCACACACTCCTTACAAAAAATTTCAGTGATTTTCCAAGGCATTGTCACAACCCAAACCCGGGTATGACCGGCCATGGCCCAGGGACTAAGCCCAAGGCACACGTAAGCCTAAACATGAACTCAAAAATCACAAAGAATAAATGTGACGATAGCCCATAAATAAATAAATCAAAAATCAATCCACTGACATGTCACAAGTATAAATGGTAAAACCCACCATAAACAACTTCCAAAAATATATACTAAATGGCACACAAACTGCACACAAAATAAAATAATTCTAAATCAAACCCAACCACAATGTATGTACAAAACCTGACATAACAAGCTAAAATAAAATAAATGAATGTCCTAGAGGTCCATGCAATCGAGTTTTCGCTATGCCAAGAGTCCACTCTAAGTCCTTCTAACATCTGGAAATGATAAACAACTAAGTCAGCTGATAGCTCAGTGAGTAGCAACATGGATAGTATATACAGTTTTGAAAACAGGAATCAATTCCAAAATAAGATATATGTCACAGAAACTAGATTGGCATACAGTTTGGTAAAGAGAATCTGTTTCAAAAAGAAAGTTCCACAGTTCAACAGTTAAAATACTCATGTCTCTCGAGGACATGATAAATGACATTTTTCACTTAAAACAGATTACAACATGAACACCAACAATTTTCTGGCTACCAAGAAATAACAAGTAATATGCCACACAGTTCTTAAGGCTATGAGCTCGTTGGATCTAATACCGAACTAAGAGTCATCCCTAGGGTGGCAACCCGGGCCTTTTCTCTAAGATGATCCGATTGAAGGTCACCTAGCTTAACCTAAGTCTTTTCCTTACAATTGTTGAGCACTACGGTCATCACGGCCCAACCTGGATCTGTTCTCTAGTGGTCAGAGTCACCACACACAGTGGAATAATTTCCCTGGACTAAATACACAGATGGTCCCAATAATCAATACACATCAGTTTCGCAAAACATGGTAGTTCATCATTCTAAACATGAGACTAAAACAAATAGTTTACAGTATGCCAAATTCACACATGTTTCAGAAATAATTTGATTCTATTGATAATATAATAATTTATCAAAACAGTTTAGTCATGAAAAAACAATTTAATTTTTCAACAGTTTAGGGTAGGGGAACATTTATAAAAATATGTGGCATGAAGCTACTCATCTGAAAACGAAATAATATAATCCTCGAATAAAGTATGAAAGTCCAACTAGTGCCGTGAATAAAGTATTAAAACTACACGTCACTACTAATTCAAACATACTAAAATGAATAATACACTACAAGAAAAAGCATTTTTGCCGACCACTTTTAGCTACCAAAACTAATTTAGTCGCCAAAAGTCACGGAATTGGCTACCAAAAATAATATTAGTCGGCAAAAGTCAGATTTTTAGTTACTAATTTTTTTTAGTAGGGGAATGTTGATTATTGGCTACTAAAAAAAATTTAGTAGCTAAAGATATTACAATTGGTGACTAAAACAATTTTTAGTAGCTAAACATATGACAATTGGCGACTAAACAAAAATTTAGTAGCCGTAGAGGTACCTTTAGCTACTAAATTGTTTGGTAGCCGAATGAAAATAAAAAAATTGTTTTTTAATCTTTCCCGACCAAACTTTTGGTCGCCAAATGTCAAATTTCCGCGACAAAATTTATTTTAGTCGCTGTATATCTACTTTCGGCTACTAAATTGTTTGGTAGCCGAATGAAAATAAAAAAATTGTTTTTTAATCTTTCCCGACCAAACTTTTGGTCGCCAAATGTCAACTTTCCGCGACAAAAATTCTTTTAGTCGCTGTACCTCTACTTTTGGCTACTAAATTGTTTAGTAGCCGAATGAAAATAAGAAAATTAATTATTTTTTTTTATTTTTATTAAGAGGTTGTACACCCACCATCCAAAAATATTAATATCTTATTTTTTTTATTCAATATGTAATTAATCTACTGTAAAAATTTCAGTTCAAAATTCATTCGTTTGATATAGTTTCTTGATTTTTAAAGTTTGTGATTTTGTGCAGAATTCTTATCCAATGACTTTAGCTCCTTAATTCGATTTAAAATTTTGCATGATAATAATATACACAAAACACTAACCCAATCAGCCAAACCGTTCCTTTTCTTCCAACAACTCACAACACCCACAAGCACCATAACTATGTAAACACAAACTATAATAGAATAAGAATAAATTGATTGTTACCTTAGAGTTGTTCAACTACAAAGTTGCTGAAATCTCTCTCTCTCTCTCTCTCTCTCTCTCTCTTGGCTGCTGCTACATGTTGAAAGTGTTGTGCAAAACAATTATAATAAGGGTTAGGGTTTTTGTTAGGAAAACTAGGGTTGCTCTCTATATATATCTAAACTTAAAAGTGTAACAATCCAGATTTTTAATTATTTTGTAGAATTTATACTAATATTATTTAATCTCAGTTCGGAAAATAAATAATTTATTATATATTATTATGTGTAATTTTGTAAAATTATATAATTATTTAAGAGTTTAGGGGTCAAAATATAAATAATAATAATAATATTAGGTGTGATAATAAAATAAATAATTAGTTTTCTGTTAGTATGTGATAATGTGTAATTTAATTAAAAATTAATTAATTAATATAATTATATTAAAATATTGGGTCAAAGGGAAATTATCTTAAATATTTATTTAGGATAAGATTGAATCTATATATAGTTATGACGAATCTGGAGGGAGAGAGATGCTCGGCCACGTGTTGGCCAAGGAGTGGCGTCACCTCCCTATAAATAGGGAGAGTGATCAATCTGGAAGAAGAAAAAAAAAAGAAAGAAGGAAAGAAAAGAAAGAAGAAAAGAAAGAGAGAAAGGAAAGGAAAGAGAGAGAAAATAGTGGAAGTTAAAAGGGTCTTTGGAAGTGGAAAGGAATGGTAAGGCATTAAAGTTAAGGTGAGTTATATTATACCTTGAGTCACCAAAATATATTTTACCTATGTTTTGACTTATCAAAATTTGTTTTACACAAGTTATGTTTTCAATAAAAGTTATGTTTTATAAAAGTTTCAGTTACGTTGTTTTATTTCTGAACCCTATTTGTTTAAAAGGAAACCATGGATATATTTGTTTATCTTTTAAAGAATATTTGATTATGACCTTATAAATAATTATGTTTTGTAAGTACCACCACGACAGTCTCATGCCTTGAGGGACTTAAATAACCATTGGCTTAGTGAGTCCCATGCCTTGGGGGACTTAAATAACCATTGGCTTAGTGATTGACCACTTTGTGGTCCAGTGTTTGTCGTGGATCCATTGACCAGTGTAGTGCTTGGCACTTAGTGATGTACCGTGGTTATGGTTGTATAGTGATTTCCGTATTACATGTTATATGTCAAATGATTTCCGTATTACATGTAAAATATCTGAAGTATAGTGATTTCAAATGATTTCCGTATTATACGTCAAATGATTTCTGTATTATATGTTATGCATTTAATATCCAGCTCTTTTTGGCCCAACTAATTATCCATGATGAATTTTATGCCTTATACTCTTAGTATAATATTTTTCACTCTGCCATGAGCTTATAGTTTTTTACCACTTTCAGGTGACATGTCGGGATCAGCGTGTGGGGTAGACACAAAGCACTTTTATTGATGTATTTTTTTTATGTAAATATCGGCCTTTTTGGTCAATACATTTTGTAATAAAAATAGAAGCTCCAATGATTATTTTAGTACCCTTATTTAAATATTTCTTCCGCTTGCGTTTATTAATTTGTTTAAAGATTTGGCCGGAGGTAACCACGGTTACTGGCCATCACGATGCTTAACCCTTGGGTACGGGGAGCGGGTTGTGACAAAAAGATTCTAAATTATTATCCTATGTTTCATTTTATTATATTTCCTCTCATTATTAATTTAAATAAAATACAACTATTATTAAATCAAAGTATACATACTAACTTGCCCCCTATTTTTTTTTAAATAATAAATCTTACCTTTAAATTAGAGATTTCCACCATAAATTTATTTTAGATTTAAAATTAATTAAAAGGCCTTCCAAATATTTAATTTGCACTTTAGGATTCACCACCAAAATATTTGAGATTGTAATATTATTATTATTTAATTATTTACTTAATTTGTATATTCGGGTTCTCACATTCTCCCCCCCCCCTAAAAGAAAAGTTTCGTCCTCGAAACTAACTTTAGTAAATCATGAGAATAGATGTGGGTACTTCTCACTCATCTCGTCCTCGCGCTCCCAATTCGCCTCTTCAACTAGATGCTTATGCCACAGTATCTTAACCAATTTAATGGCCTTTGTACGCAACATTTTCTCTTTCGAATCCAAAATCTGAACAGGCATCTCCTTATATGTAAAATCCTCTCTAATCTAAAGCGGCTCATAATCTAACACATGCGATGGACTGTGCACATATTTCCTCAGCATAGACACGTGAAACACATTATGCACTCCTGCCAACCTAGGGGGTAAAGCAACATGGTATGCAACCTCACCAACCTTCTCTAATACCTCAAATGGGCCAATGTATCTTGGACTCAATTTCCCTTTCTTTCTAAACTTGATGACTCCTTTCGATGGTGATACTTTCAAAAATACCATATCCCCCACATGAAACTCTAAGTCTCTCATACGTTGATCAGCATAACCTTTTTGTCTACTCTAAGTAGTCAATAATCTCTCTCTGATGGTGATAATTTTCTGTGTAACATCCTCTACCAAATTAGGTCACAACATTTGCCTCTCACCAACCTCATACCAACACAAAGGAGACCTACACTTCCTCTCATACAAAGCCTCATAAGGAGCTACTCCCAAACTAGAATGATAATTATTATTATATGCAAACTCCATGAGTGGCAAATAATCATCCCAATTACCTCTCCA